AGCCAAAGAGAGTCACTTCACAAGGTCATGTCCCCTTCCCAAAGTAGCCCTCATCCAAAAACTGGCTGATACATGTGTATAAAAGCTCACCCCTTCCACTTGGGGCAATTCTGAATGACCATGGCAGCCTCGAGGCTTCCTATGGGGTTGGCCGAGGCCTTGGCTGAGGCCGCAATGCAGCCCAATCCTACTTGGGTCCTTTTCCTTCCATAGGTGGCAGTCAGAAAGAATTCCCCAATAACCCTGCTTGCCGATCTCCACCCCATCCTCTGCTTCTCAGATCTGTGACACATCCCTCTGTAAAGAACGTTCTAATGAGAGAGTAACCAGGGATGCTTAATAAATTATAAGGTTTTATGACAGAAACACTGAAAATTTCTCTAAAACTATATTATAGGTTACGAGAACAAATTCATAAATCTAATTTATAGATCTTTATATTTAAGGAAAGTGAGATCATTCCAAAGTGGACAATTCTGAGGATAGTTAAACTGAATTTGTCACAATCTACTTTATCAATCTTATTTCACATTATATATTTACCCTCTTTGACCTCAGAAAAAGATCTGATCCTTAGAAGAAAAAGTCATGTTTTATGGAACCTCATAAAATTAAAATGGATATTTTGATTATGAGGACCAAAAAGCTGTTCCTTCACAGGAGTCCTTCAATGTTGTTTTAAATTTAGTCTTCTGGCTGCAACTAACCTTATAAGCAGGAATAGATACTAACTCTAGAAACTAAATGACACCTACAAAACCACAAAATGTATGTTCAAGAGTAACACTATTGGGGAGGGAGGTCACGTATGCTAAGGAGAGCTTGTGAACACATCGCTGAATTCCACAGACTTTTCCAGTGCTCCAAATTCAACCAGTAAAGTCTTCTACTGAGACAACTCCCTGTAACTGGGAAACCAGGACTTTCTGGTTCTGTAGAAACCCCCCTGCTGCTTACCTTCAGAGGCTCAGTTATATTCAGTGTGATATGTTTTAGGTCAAGTTTGGATTTATTTCATTACTTTCAATCTTAACCTAACCTCTCAACTCTCTTCCTCATCTCCCAATGGGAAATAGGTGTTATCATTATTTCAGAACCTCAGACGACTTCTTCCAAAATGAATTAAGTCAGTGAGAAAGACTTAAAATTGACCTGTATCTGAAGTTAACAGTGTTTTAACTTCAAACTTCCACTCCAACTGATGATACAAATTCACAATCTCAGGTCACAATGTTAGACAGATGGAGAGACTCACTGCTGGAAGCAAGGTATAGTCAGCGCCAATTTACTGCTGGGTTTAGTGCCCACGGACGGGCACGCTGCTGATCTAAGCCTGCTCGGTACAACCGAGGGGCTTCACTGAAAGGCCGGGTTGCTGCGGCAATACTGAGTGCATTTCTCATCTCTCCCAAAGCTAAATGGCATATATACACATTCTATTTTAAGTATTCTCTATGTTAATATTCCAAACAAAAATTCCTATATGCATTTTTCAAAGAAATATTTCATTCATGACATCAGTCAAAGGCAAATTATTTTTCATAATTTAACAATAACACAGCTATCTAAATGAAACACTTTTTGTGTGGACTGAGGTTTCTGGAATGTATTAATTCTAAGTGTACTTTATTTAGCCCAGTGGTTTTCAACTAGAGGTAATTTTGTCCCCCCTCCTCCAGTAGGGGACATCTGACAGTGTCTGAAGACATCTTTGGTTGTCACAAAAGGGGGGAATGCTGCTGACACCTAATGAATAGAGGCCAAATTAATGCCCCCATGACAAAGAATTGCCAGGGCAATAATGCCAAGGTTGAGAAACCTTGATCTGATCTAATAAAGCTCAAGATTCTCACTCTGTGTATCAGCTCAATTGGGAAGGAATTTAAGTATGTGCGTTGGCCAATATGCCGGAATCTGAGAAACCTACTGCTCCCTTCTACTGACCCTTCCATTACTATGTGAGGATCTCATATCTGTGACAAAGTAGTATATTTGTTCCACATATTTAAAGATCACCCATGATTTAATTTAAAAGAATAAATGGAACAGACTGACAGCTGTCAGCAGGGAGGAGGCTCGGGAACTGGATGAAAGGTGAAGGGATTAACCAAAAAGCATAGATACATAACTCATAGACACAGGCACCAGTGTGGTGACAGCCAGAGGGAAAGTGGAGTGCGGGGTAGGTAGAGGTGGGCAAACGGGGTGGGGTGGGGACAGAAAGACTTTGCTTGAGGGGTGGTGCACGATGCAGTGTGAAGATGTTTTGTTGAGTTGTACACTTGAAACCTGTATGGTTTGGGGAACCAATGTCATCCGAATAAATTTAATTTTTAAAAAAGGTATGGAAACATAAGATAAGAAAGTTCCTACTCTGTACTAGGAGCCGCACTGGGTATATTCACATGAGCTTATGCCATTGTAACCCAGATCACTACCCTTGTTTAATAGATGAAGAAACTGAGATTCAGAGAGGTTAACCAACTTGCTGAATATCACACAGTTGGTAACACCCTAGTGACCACTACTCCAAGTAAGAATATATACTTTTTAAATCATTAATACTTTCTCATATATGCAAAGAAAATTTCTGAATCACTAATGCTTGTTACTACTCAAAAAATTTTTTTGAATCATTAATGGTAGTTAATGGGGTGAGGAGGGTAATTAGCTTTTCACCATATATCTTTCTGTATTACTAGAATTTTCAGTAAGCATATATTACTGCATTTGAAAACTAATAAATAAAAAAGACTCAATTAAACAAATCACTGACATGTTTCTCAAATTAATTTTAGGATTAACCCGTGACAAAATTGTAAAGTAGGAAATGGTCTGTGGTACATATACCTATTCTCTTGTTTTTAACCCAATTTCCCACTCAGTAGCCCCATACCAAAACTTCTTTACCTACCCAGGTCCCCAAAAAGGATCTTATGAAGTTATTTACATTAAGGTTAAATAGGTTATTATTTCATGGTGTTCTCGCTGAGCAGAAGATAGTATCTTAGGTCAAAAGAAGGACTTTGTGTTTATCTGTAACATCAGAGGGAGAAGAGGTTTGGGGACAAGGTTTTTCTTTTCTTGCGGTCTGTACCGTCTATTCAGGCAGCTCTTAAAGAAGGGCTCTGCCTTGTGAACCCATGGCCAAGAATGGAGGGCTTAACGGGGAATGAGGCACTTGGTTGAACAGATCCAGTGACTGGCATGTGCCTGACAAGTCCCAAGTATACAAATGTTTATGGCTTAAAAGGCTCTGAAAGACCCTCCATTCCCCCAGAGTGTCTCTCTCCTACCTGATCTGAAAATTTTTCCAAGAGGACCAGTCAAGGTAGGGTGTCTAATAATAATGATTAATTTTAAATAGCGTATACACACACACATAATGTTAACATTAGTAGATCAATACAGTAAGAACTGAGAGTCAAGTTGAATTCTTTATTAAGCTTTGGGAAATCAATACTTCTAGAGCTAAGCTTCGTAATCTGGGTGAGGACTTTGGTCACAGACCTGCTATGAGACTTCCATCCCCTCAAACCCCTTCCCAGTTCCCTGTACCCCAGCTGGTGTAGCTAAAGTGTATAGATCAATCAAGAACGAGAGGTTGATTCAACATGAGCAATGGCTCTGTATCCTACTAATTGGTTGGCTTGTGTACCCCCCAAAAGATATATTCAAGTCCTAACCCTTGGTACCTGAAAACAAGACCTTATGTGGAAATGGGTCTTTGCAGGTATAATCAAGTTAAAATAAGGTCACCTTGGATTAGGGTGCATCCTAAATCCAATGACTAATGTCCTTCTAAGAAGAGGGAGATTTGGAGACACAGGGAAATAGGAGGCAGCCATGTGAAGAGGGAGGCAGAAATGGGAGCGATGCAGCAACAGGGCAAGGAATGGCGAGGATCATTCGCTCATCAGAGAGTCGGAAGTTTCCACCCAGTATACTGCAAAAGCCTCTCAACTGTCTCCGTTTCCATTCTCAGCCTCCTACAGTCCATTATCACCCATTAGACAGAATGATCTTTTTAAAGGTAAGTCATATTGTGTCAGTGCGTCTAAGGGTTCCCAGCAGGGAGTGAAATGCAGTCTTGCCAGGGCCGCCAGGGTCTAACATGCTCTGTCCCACGCTTTCCCTTCTCTCACCGGCCTTCCAGTTGCTGGTCCTGTGCTCGGAGGGCCTCTATGCTTATTGTTCCTCCTGCTCCGTGCAGGGCCTGCCTGCACCGTGACTTCACTCATAGCTCTGCTCAGTGTCACTTTCTCAGAGAGTCCTTACCTCCCTGTCTAAAGGAGCAACCCCGTAACTCCCTAGTCCCCGAACTTGCTTCTATTTTTCTCATGGCATTTATTCACCTCCTAATATTACTGACATTACATCATGTATTTAACATTTATTTTTTGGTCATCTGTGTTCCCCTATTAGAATGTCAGCTCTATGAGAGGGTTTTTTTTTATCTGATTTGTTTACTGTTTTAGTGCCTAAAACAGTGTCTACTATAGAATAAGCTCTTGATAAATATTTTTTGAACCAAAACAAATATCAATGAATGTATTTTGTAAGCTGCTTTGTTTTATTTTCTGCTCTGGCTGATAGGAAGCTTAGTAAGAAATTCAGTGGTGCGTCACAGTAATTTATTAGCTCCCATCATGACCTTATAGGCTTCTTCCTTCTTTTTAAATATTCTGGTATTCTATTCTTATTCTAATAACCTCACATATCTCCTTTATTATAAGGTATTCCTAAATCTTATAGAATGGGACAGGAAGACATCAATAGGCAGGCAGGGTGCCTGGGTGGGCGCCTGGGAGGCAACCCACATAAGCAAGAAAGGGTGGGTTTGTTCATCAGCAGTAATGCTTGAATGGGATACAAGACATCCCCCGAGCTAGAAGCACAAATCTTTGGCTGCAGGTTGATGCTTGAGAGCCTGGAAAGAGCCACATGAGAGAGAGCCAGTGGGTCTAGCAAAGCCAGTGAAGGAGGGAAGCAAGTGTTACCTTTTCATTCCTGCAGTTGTTCAGCCCCATATTATTCATGGAGGACAGTTTCCCATCAACACCATGTGGCTGTTGCTGCTGTTGCTCCCGCTGGATCTGTTCTCGCATCTTCCGAGCCTCCTGAATGGCTTTCATCACTGTATCCTGATCCCCAAACAGGGCAGGGGAGTTGAGACTGGACAGGATATCTGCACACATAGGATGCATTATCAGAGGCTTGTGAGGTGAGAATCTGTAAAAAAAGTATTGCCACTCTCCACTCCCCTGTAGAATGCTGCATTCTCCAGACAAGAAAGGGGCACGTTTGTGATTAAGAAATGGCAATACTGTGGGTAGAGCACAGAAAGCCAGGGCAACGAAGCTCTGCTGTTCTTTCGTTGGTTTTGGTTCTTTGTCTTGTTTTGCTTTTCAGCTCTTGGAGGACACCCCAGCGCTCCGGTTTAGCTGGGCTGTCAACCCGCCTCACAGGTGAAGGTCCCTAGATTCCAATCATGTGTATATATTTATCTGCTCTGGCTACATCTAACAATTAGTGGGAGAGCAGCGGGGAAGGAGGGGGTGGGGAGGGGGACAGGGACAGAGATACCTGTTCAGGTTGCTCATTATATTTGGTGTGCTAATTCAGGAAAGCTGGTTCTGGCCTAGCAGGAAAAATCTGTGAGGCTACATGTGTCCTTTAGTGACATCTGCATGTGTGTGTTCATATGTCCACCGCAGGAGAGAGGGCGCGGGAAGGGCCACTCCACACTCTCCATTCCCAGTCACTGGCTGGTTAATGAAGCATTCTACTCGGCAGGCTGCCTCAGTTATTTACCAAGAGAATGACAACCCATTGCCTGCCCCCACCGGAACACCCACAGCTCTCAGCTTCCTGTTTTCCTGACAGGGAGGCTGTATGAGTGGGGATGGTTTTCACATAAGTACAAAGCTTCAAATAAACTGATAATAAATATTTACTTTCATTATGTTCCATGCTACACAGTGGGGATAAATTCAAAATTAAACTGACTAATTTTCCCTCATATCTTACATTATACTATAGGTTAAAATTAATACTTTAGATAAGTTTTTCCAATTCTAGAGAAAAAGAAAACAATTGTTTGCTGATTCATAGATTTTAGATCCACCTGTTTGTACCCTGGTACAAGCATTTTATGACCCATGTCTGTGTGTGTGTGTGTGTGTGTGCGCGCGCGCACGCACACTTACATGTGCCTTTGTGTTTAGAAAATATTCCCAAAGCTGTCTATGGAAAAATTTTAAAAGTCAGTCACTTTTTAGGATATAGAAACCCATATATTTTACTCTAGAGCTTTTCTGAAAAAAAAAAAAAAAAAAAAAAAATCTCTCCTATGTTGTCTCGAGCAGAGGGCTAGTACTTCAGCCCGTTTCTAGCTCAGGATCTAAGACATATGCTCTGCTGAAGTATAAACTCCATCAAAGCAGGGCCTGCGACACAGTCATCTCTGTCCCTCACGATGCTCAGTACCTCAGTTCAGCAAACAAATGCTTTCCCAATAAAACTCTCAAGTGGATCATAGGAGGGCCATTTCAAGATCAAGTCTATTATTTACTGATGTTGGCTTTTTTATTGTCTCACAACTTCCAACAACACAGTGATCATACTCACACACTGGAACTGATTCAGTTCTCTCTCCCACAGCAAAACCACGGACTAGTCCTGACTCAAAATGAGAACAGGCTGCCTTGTGGTTCCTAACGTGCACATTTCAGTGAGGAAGACCCACCTCTCACCATCAGCAATACCCTTAGACTCAGCCCAGCTCAGCACGTATCCCAGCTGAGTTCACAAAAGAGCATCGCGTTAGGTGGGAGAGGACCTGGACTCTGGTCTTAGCTCTGCTGACTGCAGAGCTACAGGCTGTGGGCAAGTCATTTTACGTATGACAGACACAGTTTACATACAGCGAGGGTATTAACACCATACTCCCTAACTCAGATGAGATAAGATAGGCAAAAATGGTGAGCTGTAAATGGCTACACTTACCCATTATTTAATTTATTATAATAAGCATTTCAGGCTCCAGGACTCAATAACACAAGGAAGGTAATATGGTGAATCAATGCCAGCCCGAGTCCCTAATCCCTCTGAATTTGTGTCTTTATTTGAACAGTAAGAGACTTAAAGAGTATAGTAAAATAAAGCAGCAAAGCCACTGACAAGCGCTTCCACATCGCTGCTCATTCCGCACGCACATGTAAATGCGCTGGTGTTCACTCAATGCAGCCTTTTTAAGCCCCAGGCCTTTAGGTGCCAGCCGCCACGTTAGCCTCTTTATATGCATTTTTCTCTTTTAATTCTCATAACAACCTACGAGCCAGGTAATAATATCCCCCTTTCAAAGATTAGGAAACTGAATTTTAAAAGATTAAATATCTTTCCCAGGATTATAAAGCTAGTAAGTAAAGGCTCTTAGTCCAAGTCTGTCTGACGCCAAAAGCCATGTTTTTCCTGTATGCTGCTCATGCTGGGGTGTGAATGTTCCTAGAGAGACCTGGCCATATGTCAGCGAGTCTAAGAAGCCAGAGGATCATTATGACATATCCTATTAGATTCCAATTTTATTTCATAGCATGTCATTGAAATGTGTCACTTGTATTTATTTTAATGCAAACTAACAGATTAGATGTAAAATTCACGTACATTTTAAAACAAAAACATAAAATTTCAAAGGAATTTTGGGCTTTTGGCAGGCAGCTTTGAGGCCAGGGTCCCTTTAGGCCCTTGGGGGGTTCATGGTCACCCCTTCTGCCCAGAGTTACTTTAGTGGCAAAGCAAAGACGAAGCACAGAAATTGCCAAGCCTCTGATCTGTTGGAGGGAACTCATCACCATCACCAGCAGAACTTACATAATGGCCTTTTCCAAGAGTTCTAATCATCCAAAAAGAACCAAATTGGGTTGTTTTATAGAACAGATTTTACTTTTTTTTTTTTTCTTGGACTAAGGAACACTTGGGAAACAAGGATCAGTCATCACTCAACAGGTTTGCTTTCTTTTACCTAATTCATAAGTCTCTTCCTGGTGCTGGCCTTTCCATTTACCTAAAGAGGATCCCCTTCCCAGGCTTCCTCCGATGGGGCTGGGGATGCTGCTTTTGTTGGGCAGGTTGACAGGGCTGGTCTTGCTGGCCGGGAAGAGGCTCTGGGTGGGAGAGGTTGGGGACTTTACAGGCTCGGCTGTCTTGGGTCGGGATGAGAGATTCAGCGGCTGTGCTGCTGCTTCATCCTACGAGAGTTTAACATAAATAATTATTAAAAAGAAAAAGACAAATGAAGCACATTATCACTTAGTAAGCCACAGTTATTTTACACCTCAGAGACAATGCCACATTCTCCTACAATCATAACAAAAGAGCTAATTATCTACCTCCTTGAAGATGCATCAGAAGGAAACCTCATTAATTTCCCTGTTATGCTTCTATTTACATTAACTGTGTAGTTGGATCATTCTTTTTGCCAAATTAAAATCTGAATTAGCTCACATTACAGCTTAATTTCCTAATGTGTTTTCAGGGATCTAAATTAACCTAGGGCATTTACAGAGAATTATTTAAAATTTCAGCAGCTCCATAGTGCTTCTGTGTTATTCTCTCTTAAAAGTTCCTGGAACTATAAATGGGCTCTGCAGCTAATTTTTTAATATATATTTTAAATCAAACAATTGCAAGTACTTTAAAAATGGAAACACGGAAGGCCTTCTTCGATCCCCTGGGCCTCTGCCCAGGGAGCCGCATACCACAGTGTGGCTTCTCTGTGGCTTTCTGGGTGTGGGCGCCCTTCATGGTCTGTATTCTGGTCTCTATTCATGTTTAAAATTAATTTTTGCAAAGAGCTAGCACACATTATAATTATGTTTTACATACCATGCTATATGCAATTTATTTTTCATGTCTAAAGTGATGTCTCTTTATATCTTCGCTCCATATATTTACAGAATGTCTATTTTAAGATGTCTGTCCTATACTGAGCACACGATTCAAATATCTTGCTTGTAACTCTAGTTTAACCAGAAGCTCAAAAGCCAAGCTCCTTGCCTTTATTTTGTCTCATTTATCCTGCCATAAAATACCCGTCACAACATTTCCATCATGCTAAAAACTTACTTGTAATATGAGCATATTCATTTAAATGTTCAGTTTTAAGATCTGCATTATTGTGTTCTAAAATAAAACTGTCAGTAAATGTTAATTCCTGTCTTGCTTCTGAGGAGGCACAGAAAACCTGCTTTTGATGTTATTATTTAAAACACACAGTAGAGCTTGGAAACAGAACATTCTCCCCCTTGGCAAACCTGTGGCCTCTCTGAGGCTCAGTGTCTTCATCTGTAGGAAAAAGGGGGAGCGGGGGCTGATTCTAGCTGATCTCTAAGGTCTCTTTCAGTATTAATGGTCATTGTTTAAGAGGAAACAAAAAGGGATGCCAGAAAGTACTACTCAGAAAGGAGAACTAGAAAAAAATAAAAATAACATTCAACAGAAAAGCCACTATATATCAAGCATTGTGCTAGACATTTTCACACATATTAGCTTATTTCACTGTCAATAAATCTATGAAGTTGGGCAGTATTATTCTAAATTCACAAAGGAAGGTGGGTCTGAGTGATAAAATCAATGTCTAAAGCTATACATAGAGGGACAAAATTTGAATTCTAGTTTATTGGACTTTAAATCCCAGGTCCCCTTACTACTATACTATCAAACACAATAAGTCACTTGATAATGTAGTGATGCCCTACAGTGTTTTTGCTTTTGTTTTGCTTTGTTTTGGTCATGGTAGGAAATAGGTAATTGGACACATCTATGTTGCAATGTTCTTTTACTTATATAGAAATAAGATAGGTTCTTAGGTCACAGTTATATATATTATAAATGTCAAAATTACCCAACATGCTTAATTACAGATTACTCCCTTTTGCTCTGAACTCAAAGGATACTTAGACTAGTTAGTTCCTTCATTCATATCTAAATAATAGTGATTCACATGCTAGGTATCTAGTTAGTTTTCTCCATGTTTCTTTATTTGGGGGTTCACTGAGCGTAGGTATCTGAGTTTAGAGTTTTCTTCAAATTTGAAATACTGTCAGCTATTGCTTCTTCAAATATAGTTTTCTGTTCCTTCATTTTCCTTATGGGGCTTCAGATGCATGTATTAGGCCATTTGATGTCCCACAGCACTGTCTTTTTTCTATGTTTTTCATTTTGGATAGTTTCATTGTTATGTAACCAGATTCCCTAATCTTTTCTTCTGTAATGTCTGATTTGTTGCTGTACTAATCCAGTGTACTTTTAATTTCAAACACTGTATTTTTCATCTCCAGACATTCGATCTAAGTCTTCCCTGTCTTGCCTTATATAGCTCTCATGTTTTCCCCTACCTTCTTGAACATATGGAGTTTATAACATCTGGCTTTATTCAACTTCAAATATACTCAAATTTATTTATTTTTATAATTTAATAATTGCCACTTTCACAAACAATGCCACTGAGCACGGGAATCACCTATCAACTACCAATCATATAAATCCCTTTCTACCAAGTCAGACCTGCTACTGGTCCTCACAGCCTGCCCTGCCTGAGAGCTCTGTGGGTGTTTTCTAGGAGCAGATGTGCCTATTTCCTCAGTTGGCTATACCTGCAAGTCTCTTACAATAGCTGCCTTTACTGTCTTGTCTACTAACTCTATGATCTGTGTCATTTTGGGGTCGATTTCTATTGACTGAGTTTTCTCCCCATTATTGTTCATATTTTCTAGCTTTTATGAAAGCCTGATAATTACTGAAAGGATGCCACACATTGTGAGCTTTACATTGTTGGGTGTCAGAGTTTGTGTATTCCTTTAAATAGCTGTGAACTTTGCTCTGAGACACAGAACAATCTGATCCTTTCTAGACATACTTTTAAGCTTTATTAGGCAGATCCAGAGCGGCTCTTAATCTAGCGATAATTTGGCCCACTACTGAGGTAATACCCTTCTGGGGATTCTACTCGATGCGCCATATGTCAGGAGAACTTCCCACTCTCACTACTGGGAATACAAACCATTCTCAGTCTTTTGTGAATCTTGCAATTGTTTTGTCTGCTAATCTTGTCTTTGTCCCTATGTTAGATAGTTTCCTCACATGAATACGCTAATCATACTCAGCTAAATTTGGGGAACCTTCTGCAGATCTTCAATGTACTCTCTGCGTGCAGGTCTGTCTCTTTGGCACTGTCTCACAAAGCCCATCTACCTCAGCATCCCTGAACTCCGAACTCTATCTCTACTCAGGGGAGCTGCCAAACTCCATGTGCAGCGCTCCCTGAACTATTGCCTGGAAATTCGCTCCAGATATTAAGCTGAAACAACTATAGTGCTTGCTTCACTTCTTTCTTTTTAGTCAGGGATCACTGTCCTGTACCCCTATTGTAAATGTCTGAAAACCACTGTTTTCTATATTTTGTCCTGAGTTTTCATTGTTTAAGCTGAGAGAGTAAATCTGGTCCCTGTTCCTCTATCATGGTTGAAAATGGTAATCCTCTAGGTACTTTGTTAGGACCTCTCTCAGTATACAGCTAGATATTTCCATCACAAGCTCTACTATCACCACCACCATTTTCTTTATTACCATCAGATCATCATCATCATCATCATCATCATCACTATACTAACATTTTGGAACACTCACTATATGCTAGAGGATGTATTATCTCATTTAAGATCCACAATAATATTAACTTTCATTTTACAGAGGAGAAAATTAAGGCTGAAAAAGGTTTAAGTAACTTGCCCACATGACATGGCTGGTAAAAATGGTAGAAATGACATTTGAACAGAAACATTCTGACTTCTGATGTTGAAAATTATAGTGAATAAAAATTCTGGAGGAAGAAGGTACATAAAGCCATTTGTGTCTATTTTGTTACCTTCAGCAGACTATGCCCTTTGTGATGTGGACGTGTTACACACACAGGGAAAGCAATGACTAGAAACAGAAACATGAGATATTCCAGTGACCATAATTCGTTCAATTAGAAAATTACAAGATTGTTCTCAGAACTTCTTCAATAATAGATAGGAGCTATTTTTAAAATTTAAAACATTGGTTTTATGTCTCTGTCTATATATTTTTACCCACACATACAATAAACAATCTAATACACATAAGGAATGCTTCCTTTGTTATTACCATAAAATATAGTCAGGTCAAATTATATAGAGAACTCCCTAAGAATCTGCATGTGGTCAAGTGAGTAATAAAATTCAGTTGGCCCACAAAGCTGGAATGGTAAAAGCAGATATAAACTTAAATTTAACCAGGGAACATTTTACTCATCCAGTAAAGGCTTGGTTTGGTGTAGTTCCATTTGGCCAACTCACTTATAAAATGACTTTTTCATGTTAAAATAGCTAATACTCAATACCTCAAGTCACCGATGCTTGATACGCTCATACTCTAACAACTATAATTGAAGTGCCTTGGTTAAGTTGTAGTGTTCTGACTCTTAGTCACAAATAGAAACTCTTGGAACACAAAAATGTCTGCTACCATCCTTATACTATCTTAGTAACTGTAAATGGTGTATTGTCAGAGCTCAGCATTTCTAACAACAAAACATAAATGCCCACCTAGTTCTTCGAAGAAACTAGTGGGGAGAGGTTAATCAAAGAACTTACATGCATATATGCATGATCCGTGGACACAGATGATAGTGTGGAGAAGGCCTGGGGGATGGATGTGGGGTAGGAGGATGAATCGGGCGAAAAGGGGGGACATCTGTAATACTTTCAACAGTAAAGATAAATTTTTAAAAAATAAAATGAAAAAATAAAAACATGGGTGGCATTAAATTAATTCCTTTGGGTGGGGCACAGGCAGAACTATTTCTCTTCATGATGTTTTCTTATCTTTGGTATTTGGGACCCGTATTTTTTTTTATGTCCTTTCTGAAATCTCAAAATTTCTATCTGCAAATATTAGAAGATAAATTTATGTGAGTTTAGAGCATTCAATGCTGTTTTGTTGGGCTTTAGATATTTCCCATGTGAAGATTTAATAATTGCAAACCTTCTCCCAATGTAGTACTTTGGGCATATTACAATAATACATCTGTGCTTAGCTTACCCCTTTAAGTAGAGGGGTAATTATACAAAACAATTGTTTTCCTGAACTGTTTGAATTTCTTAATTCAATATACAAAGGAAAGGCAATCATAAAAACCAACCAGTACCACCTACAGGTACCAGCTGCAGCACAAAGTTGGAATGGATCATCAGTTTCCCTTAGTGGCCAAGTAGCTCCTGGCCACCCCACGCTAAGGCACTGAAAAGCGGTGAGGGAAGGTATCGATTAATGTCCTAGCCATCCCTTGGGAGAGCCTGTTTATCTTATCACAACCTATATGGCCTCAAAGCACGAGTATGCAATGCTACCACTCATTTCTCAGAGCCCACCTTTCTAACTTTTTTTGAAAGGGAGACCTTTATCAACAAACCACACAAACCCACCATTAGGCTCTTTTTTGTTCCCTTTTTTTAAATCTAAAGTTTTGAGATCCTCCTTCTCCAGTACTATAAGTTGGCTCCCCACCTGTTTAAGAAACTTAGAGAGAAATGTCACAAGTCTATGACAAACACTGGTAATAAAACCATGGCCATTCATGCCAATGAACATTAAAAAATAAAAGCTAGACTCCAAAGGGGAAAAACTCTTGAGAAGTGAGTTTGCAGATTTAGGTAAAGATCTCACAATATGGCACTATTGTTATCAAACGGGAAACACCTGTTTCTCAGCGCTCGGTTGTGAAATCTGCCATAAAGAGGAGCACTTGGGGATCCTTTATGTTGCTGTGCTTCCTGCTGTTTACTCCCAGCACAGCCCGGTTCACTACCTTTCTTGTGAAGCTATTTTCCAAACTGTTTCCACAATCCTACAAAGCAAGTACCTTAACTTGAGTTACAGGGCTGGTCCCTCTCTTTTCATTTTTTATCCCAGTAGGTGAGACTGCCCCTGCTGTGTTTGGTGGCTGTGGAGTTGATGGCATCTTTGCTCCAGGTGACACCTGCATGCTGGCCAGCTGAGCCGCATAGAGCTGCTGCAAAACAGGGAAGACAAACATTATCTCTTTAAATGCAGCTGAAATGGAGTTTCAAAAAAAACTTACCGTATTGTTAGATAACTGTTTCTCTGACAGCCTTGCGATTGCTCTTTCACTATTTTTCAAAAAGGAAAATAAGAGAGACTAAATAACGCAACAGAAAAAAAATGAGTGCTGGCACAGGGGTCATTGTTCCGTCCCTGGTCTTTTAGGCAATAACTTTATGGACTTGCTAAACAAAGGACTTGCTCGCTCTAGAGCTCAGTCTCTTCAATTGTACAAAAAGGAATTTGACTAAATGGTCTTTAAGATTCTTTCTATCACCTAGAATCTTTATTAAAAGTTCTTTAAAAGTTGGTATGTCCATTCTTGTAATTTTAATATTCATAAATGAAGAAGCTGATCTGAGCTTTCCTAAGGGTTCCTGCAAGAACATTGTTTTTATTCAGCGCTGCCCCGCTTCTCTGGGAATGCTGATCCTTCTGAAGGATAACAGTGCTGCCTTCAAGATCCCTGTGGCCCAACAGAAGTCTCTCTTTTTTCAGGGCCTCATTTCTAGGCAGCGTATAACACAATCCTCAAGGGAATATAGGTGGATTCATGACAAAAATAATAATAAAACCAAGCTTCTTTCTTGTAGCACAGGATGTTAAATACTTAAATGTCAGTTTATTAGGTTTTGGGTGAAACTGGTGACACATGAACATGTAGATCTGCTAGGTGACCAGAATTCAGATACTTCAATCTTAACAATATTTAATGCTTGAAAACGCCACTCAAATATTTTCTTGTTATCATCAAGATTAAGCCATTACATTGATAGGCATATTTCTATCATAATAAATTGAAAGCTTCCTATTTTCATCAACCACAGAGAAAATCGCTCCAACTTTGCCACACAGTAGGGGAGAAAAAACAGGTGGTTTGTATGTAATTTCCAGCATTACTATCATTCAGATGGACAAATAAAAAAAATTACAGTAATCAAAAACAGACCTTTCAGCACATGTAATTAAATGAAAGCTTAATAAAGAATAATTTGCCAGAGCCAGATGTGCTTATGTCATGATTGTTGCTTTCTTTGGAACAATTTTTCTAATATAACAAGCCTCTAAAGAAATGAAAGTTTCATAATTCTGTGTGTGCAATGACTCAGTGGCAAGAAAAATTCACAAGTCAGTCAAGCTGCTAAAACTTAGGGAAATAAAGGGGGCCGTCCTTTCTGTTTCCTTTTTACTCTGGTGTACCCTTTTTCTGTGAAATCCAGCCAGGTGTCTTCAAAGGCAGGCCAAGGGAAGCTTCCAAAAACTTCCCGCTTGGATTAAGCCAGTGAAGAAAAGTGCTGTGCGGAAGAGTCTCGAGATGGCGAAGAATCGAGAAAGCGTTGACTGTGCAGTAGCGGGTACCATGACCAGTATGCCCTACTGTTGAGTATTAAAGAGTCACGAAATCCTAGGGAGCCAAGAGTCCTTAGGCATCAGTTATGCCTTCATTTTACCTCAGCAATTCATAAGATCAGAAGAAAGTCAAGTATCACGCTTTTCAGACTGAAGACTTCAGGTTTGACTTCGACAAAAAGAGCCCCATTCGTTAACTAGATACAGGCTTAGCCAACAGTTTCACAGCTCACCTTCTAAGCTAACATTCATTGAATACGCTTTACACGCAAGGCTGTGCGGCAGGCGCTAAGGAGCACCGGGTCTCGGAGCCGGCCAGCGACCATGCCGATGTGAGACACGGATCCCTAACGCGTGCTTGCACTTTCCATGTGATGCCTGTCACATTTTTCAACCTGTGCTTAGTTATGCACGTGTCTTACCATCTTAGATACACTGTAAGCTTATTGATGTCCTGATCAACCTAATTATTTTTGAATGCCAACCATCAACAATAATGCCTTACAAATAAAAGATAACCAATCGATATTTTCTGAATACTGACTATTTTATTGGAAAAGAGATATTCTCTCCCTATAAATGAGGCAACAGAAGTGGTATATGATTATATTTACTATTATGTAATGAATAATTTTATGATGTTGAGTTTAAAAAAGAAATTCAGTGCAAATTAAATTATATTGTTTCACAAGAAATGATTCACTTGAAGTCGTTTGTTAAAATGTTGACTAGAGAGCTGCTCTGTTTGCTAGTTTCACTGACCTGTCAAACTTTTCCAGCACAAATTATACTGCTCTAGCAGTAACTACAGAATAGGAACAACTTTTCTTCTCAGTCCGGTTACTTATAAATTTAAAGTTTCCCTAAATGCTACCATGTCCTTTTTTGAAAGAAGATAAACTATTAGTTATTCAAATAATTTTAGTTAGAAAACTGCTTTACAGACCAATGGTTTAAATGGGAAGAAGGTTAAACTTTGATTAACTATAACATAAGAGTTTACAGCATGTAGGATACTCAGGTCATAGTTCATAGTTGAATGATGATAATAATGAATATTCATTTCCAAACACGGCTGAGGTTCAAAAAAATCAACAGTGTAGTAAAGCCCCTCACAGGCTTATCCAAAGTCCCATAAACATTTAAACTCTGGTGAAGTGTTTTTGTAAATACAGATTGTTCCATTTCAATTTTGAAAAATGCTCAGTGATTGTTTGGGATACTGAACTGTTTCTTTATCTGAGATATATAAAATAAATGCAGTGCATACGATGTTAAAATGAGCCTAGCCAAATATTTTTTCAAAATTATAAAATCACTCACATTTTATAGGAGCACTTTCAGAAATGCATGTACTATTTTACAGCTAAAAATATTCCACCTATTTTATGAGTTCAGTTTTAATAAAGTAGTCAGCATTAAAATTTTGGTAAGCTGAACACTGACATACTTGGCATCAAGCAATGAAAGAGCCTTAACAGACCATTTAGTCTAGTCTGACCTCCTCACTCTACCGATGAGCTGAGGTCTAGAGAACAGGAGGAGCATGCCTGAGATCACATAATCGCTCAGTTCTAGCTCCCACTTCAATGTTATCATTAAAAGTACAAATGGATATATGATGAACCAACCTTTGCACAATTGATGAATTTGTTCTATGACGGATCTTTATTAAGTGCTTACTATTAACTAAACACTGTGCTAAAAACTAGAGGTACAACAACAAGCAGCTCAGAAATAATCCCTACCTTAATGGAGCTGGAAAGGGAAACATATTAAATAAATGCCTAGACAGTAACTATAAATTATGGTTAAGATAAGTGCTGAGAAAGAAAAATACAGAATGTCAAGAGACCATCTAATAAGGGTATTTAGCATAGTCTGGAGGATCAGAATAGCTTCTCTAAGGAAGTAACATTTTAAGTAAGAATTATCCAGGTGGAAAGCTTGATAAAGAACATTTTAGAAAGAAGAAACATCAATTATTATGGCTTTGAGGTAGAAAAGAGGCAATATTTTTGGGGAACTTTAAAAAGGCCAGTGTGGCAAGATTGTTGAGTGAATGCAGAGTGGCCCGAGAAGAGGTGAGAGAGGAGCAGGGCCTTCTAGGCCACATCAATAATTTCAGACCTTTTCCCCAAAGTGAAGTATCTACAAAAACGAATGAACTGAAACCAAGACACAAAGAACCAAGACACTAACTCATTGACTAATCTTTTAAATACGTTTCAGAGAGTCCTATGAAGGTCTCACAAATCCACAAATATACGCCTCCAATAGTGTTTCTAGCGTTCTGTGTCCTGAGACTAGCCTTAGAGGATACCTATCTTGCATTTGGATCCTTGTGACACTTTAGTAACTAAGCCTGCTTAGATTCAACACAAAACAGTAGGTCTTACCAACCAAACTCAGCCTTATGGTAAAATTCTTGAGTGTCTTCAAGTACGCACACTGGTCTACGGCCAGGACCTAAGAAATGTATTGTGTCAGAGTCATTTTATAACACTATTGTAACTGGGAAGAGAGGCATGCTTTGCCCTCAAAACAGCTAAATGCATGCCAAAGTATAATGGGTGGTGTCACAATGTATCTGATATTTACCATAATATGAAATATATATATGTACATATATATTTATACCTGCTTTCTATGATAAAATCATGTACTATCTCCAATGGAGAGTGGAATAGAAAAAAAGTACAAGGCTTTTTCTTCCCATAATCATGATTTTTCACATAACCAGTCATGTAGTCATACAAACATCACCCCCATTCATTCATGTGTTAATTCAACAAACATATTGGGCACTAACTCAGGTACTGTGCTAGGTAATTTTCATTTATTATTTAATCTTCAAAATAACTATATAAAATAGGAAAAAAGTGTCACTTTTAAGCCCATGTACTTTCTGCTTATGTAAGATAAAATTAAATTATTTTAAATAAGCTATATAGTGAATCACAATGAAACCCATTTCCTATCCCTAGCCACAAGACAAGGATCATTGTCCAAGAAGAGAGATTCTGAATTTGCTGCTGTTCTGAGCTCTCAAATAGCAAACTATATTTCCAGATGTCTTACAGCTACTTTCCCTAAAATGTCATTTCACAATCCTCAAATGGAGACCACCAGCCGCCTAGAAGGAGTAAGAGGCATAATTTTGATCTAAACAACTCCTTTCTCCAACCAGTCTCTAAGCCATAACAGAAGACACCTGAAATACCCTAGTGACATGTATTTAATAGACTGATAAAGTAAAAAGAACTATGCAGAGTATGGGTAGAAATAGGAGAACTTGATAAAATGAACACTAACAGGGGCTTTAAATTGGTACCAGCATGCTCCAGAATAGGGAAACCAACAGTAAAGAAAGCAGGTACAACTTCACACTGGATTCTCTTTGGAGTAAGTTCTCCTGTGTTTTGTCATTTCAATTAGAAAGGGCATTTTTAAGTGGCCTGTCAGAATCTGGCCCAAAGAGAAAGAAAAAAAATTCCCCCTCAAATGCAGCTTGCCTATCGGGAGATTATAAGGAAAGGAAGAGAAGGGAAAGTGCCTTCTACACGAAGAGATTCACAGATGCTCCCGAAAGATTTCAAC